TGTCTCCATGAGAAATTATTTACATAACAATTTTAAAAGTACAGATAATAGCAAACTTCATGAAAATATTGAATATATAGTTTATAAACATAATTAAATTTAGTTAAGAGTACAGGCATGTTTTCTTGGTGAGTATGAGTGTGACTGCAAAAAAAACAATTATTTAAAACATTTAACTTTAATTTAAATTGGTTGAAGTTAGACATTAACGGCGTTGGATGCCGACTTAGCGATCTAGAGGTTATCCATTCGCGTGCGAGACCGATAGGTCCTGGGTTCGTGGGTGCGAACTGTTGAGGAGACCCATACTAGAACGAAACGGTCGTCTAGTTCTTCCAGGTTTTCCATAGTCGTTTAACTTCAATTGACTCATGAATTCAATTATTAAATAGAATAATTAAATGGATTTCTAATTTCAAAGTGAACTCTCGACTTTATTCAAATGCATCAACAATATTTCATTTTCATTTTTTTAAATAGTACAAATGTTTTGTGACGTAACAGTAAAGAATTAGCTGTCATCAATGAAAGTATTATCTTTTACGGATTATTATTTACTTAATAACCAAATAATTAGTTATATAGTCGGTAACCTGATTTAATCTTAACAATTGTTTCAAATATCATTTAAGAGTAAAACTTCAACTAAAAATACTTTACAGTTGTCAAACAATTTTCTAGATAATTCATAGACAAAATACTATGGTTATTAATTTATAAGATATTTTGTTGTCTGTGATTGACACTTTATGGACAATACATTTTCTTAACATAAACTTCGTTTTGTTTTTTAAACAATAGCTGTTAGAAATAATAAATGATTTTGCTATGGCGATCAATAAAACGAATCTGTAAATAAAATTTTTAAAACATCACAATACATCAACATTAAAAATACAGATGGATAGTGGCTAGCAGTGGAATCCAGGACGTGTGTTTTTTCGTATTTAGGATTCTTCAGCTGCATGTACCTGCATCTCAAAGTTGATGTTCACTTTGGGACACGAATCCCGTACTGTTCGCTTCAAACGCCATCGCGTTATCCACTTGGGTAATGAGTCCATCTTTGTTTATAATGCTTGTAAATCAAGGCACTATCGAGTCATTACTCACAATATACACATATGCCAATAAGAGAATGATCAATTTCAGTCCTAAGCATCAATTAGAAGATTCATGTAAACAATACCAAGTCAATTTACATCAATATTAACTTATACAATCTTCAAAGAAAGTTTTTAATTTACAGTTTTTCAAGATGTTGTGCACTGTTTTCTCATGTAGTGAATTGAACACTAAATTGAAACAAAACTGCGATTTTTTTAATTATCAAAATGATACTAAACTTTTTATTTGTATTGTTACGAGGGAAGAAATGTCCTTGGTTTCAAGTATAACATGTGAGATCGTGAATATGTACTGCTGAGGAGTCCCACATTATGATGAAACGATTGCTCAGTGCTTTTAGGTTTTCAATGGTGATCTAACTTAAATTAACTCGAGAATTCAACTTTGAAAATACTACAATCTTCTCAAATCCTGAAAATTGATATTTTAATTCCATTTTAAACATTTATAAGATTTTTCAATTAAACCTCAGGATTATTTTATAAAACATACAGTAGATTTGATTGTTTTACAGAGAATCAAATGTATATAATTTATCCATAAATAAAATATGAGATTAGTCTAGTTAAACAAATAGGGATGTAGTTCATTTTTCACTTTATTTATTTCAAAGTTTTACTGATTTCATTTCTAATGTAATTAATTGATGTATGAAAAAAAAGAGAACAGCCGGTAACTAATCAATAATATTGCCACAAATTATGGACTATTTGAATAGTACGATTCAATAATTCATTACTTTGAAAATCAACATATTGACTAATTAAACACTGTCATTCACTAATATAAATACGTTTTCATTAAGGTTATGCCTTTATGTTAGGTATATTTTGGAGAAAAATGTATATATAAAATAAATTTATATGAGTGTTAGCTAATATTATTACTTACTTATATAGTGTGGTGTTAATTACTTTTGTCACAGCTGATATTAAGTCTTATATTTAAAGTAGATCAACTGTCCATAAAGTTTACTATGTTGAATTCTAGTAAAGAGAAAGCTAAATGATTATTTTATATTGTGAAGGATTATTTAAGGAATTCGGAAATTTCCGATAAACACAAGGATATAATTGGCTTAATGAAATAAAATTGGTATTTTTGTCTTTATAATACAAAAAATAAGTAGCTTATGTGATATATTTTAAAGGTGTTTTTATGAGAAAATGTGTATGGTTTGAACTGAGAGCAACTATCAAATTATTGAAGTTTAAATAACACCAGTAAACTATATTATTTTAGCAGTTTTTGATGTTATTTCCTGGTTTATATTTTTGTTGTTCTTTTATATATATATATATCTTCTTCACATAAATGAGATTTAACAATGAAGGTAAACGTATATGCATTTTTATAACTCTGTCTTCTTAACTTTACCGATATTAAATTATATAATCATTAAACGAAAGCTTCAAAATGTTTTTTGACTGGACAGTCAATTTATGAATTTGATAACTGTTCTAGTTTTCCCTACAATCAGTGACATGTTGTTGGTCAATTTACAACGTAATGTTTTATCACTTGATATTGTTTACTTGAATCTTTCAATTGATGTTTAGGACTGCAATCGATCACTCTCATATTGGCATATGTGTATACTGTGCGTATTACCTCGATATTGCCTTAACTCACAAGCATTTTAAGCAAAGATGAATAGTGGCTAGGATGTCCTGAATTCCACTGCTAGCCATTATCCATCTTTGCGAATGTTTTATCGTTAAAATAGTTTAAAAGGATGTATTCTGACTAAAGAATTTTGAAATGTATCTATTTCTTATTTATTTTAAAAGTGGAAATATTTTTTAAAATTATTTAAATTAAAATGGTTATTAATTATTATGGACAGTAAGTAATCTTCAGGGTTTGTAGAAAGAAGATCAAGGATTATATGAATTGCCGAAAGAAATAAGTCAAATTCTTTATTCAATTTGTCATCAAAATCGAATAATAGCCTGTTTCCCTATTCATCATATTTCGATTTCAGCCTTATTAGAAAAGATGACTACGAAAACAATAACAAGGGATACCAATAATTATTACTAGTAAAAATATACAGAGGCTTGAATATGCATGTTACCATGCTGAAACATTTGAAAACCCTAATGTGTATACATAATCTCATCAGAATGCATCCATTTGTACAACAGCGTTATTGTTGTGGCACTATATAAAAAATTACAAAATTCTGTTTATTAGTAGGTAGTCAAAACTACTGTCTATTTGCATTCATCTTGTAGGTTCACATATAGTAAAAGCGACTAAGGCAACAGAGTTCTATAAAAAGAATAGTTTGAAAATTCTGTATTCTTACATGCTTATGTAGTCTTAAAATGGAAAGTAAAAAAGATAAATAAAACTGATGAAGAGGATTAACAATTTATAAGTGAGTTTACCTAAAGATAAATTAGAATAAATAAGAAACAGTAATACTAGATGCGACGTACTTCATATATTTTCAATCCTAAGATGAACCATGATATCAGAGTCATAATCCCTTTCTTATTTCTCATACACATACCAAATAATTCTATTCAAATTGTCATTACAATGGTTTGAATGATATTATATCTAGTGATTTTGATTAATTTTAATTACAAGAAATGAATGGCTACTATCCATTCAGTTTCTGATAATTGACTAGAATATTTTTTAAGAAAATCGTATTATATCTTCTTTTACTCAGTTACAGTTTGACAGCTTTCGATTTTGATTACATAAATAATTAGTTGATATGCAATTAAGAATATCTGTACAGTCATTTATTTATAAGTTATCTTTGTGAACTTACGTTTACTTTATCTAAGTAGATCAATGATAGTGAGTTTGAAAACAAAATTATCATTTTACAGTTCAGATATTTAGAAACCACTGAATAAACAAAATTTCACTGATAATCATACATCAAATTATATGCACACTTTTTTACCAAAGCTATAAAGAAAAATCAAAACTGTACTGCAAAAGACTTAATTCATCAGTGAACACTTTCAATATTATCAGAAAGGGGTTTTTGTGGATATTATAGTAATTTAATTGTTGAGTTCATGAACTCAATAATAATCATCATATACTCACTAATGACTGTCTCAAAAAAGCATTTATTGGGGTTCTAGTGAGAAGCAGTTACCAGTAGAGTTCAACCGGATCTGTTGTGAGATAGTAACTCACTGATGACAATGGTGGATGTGTCGCTCAGTTTCGTGGATTGATTGAAGTTAGACATTAACACCGCTGGATTCGGGCTCATTGATCTAGAGGTTGAACACTCGCGCTCGAGATCGATAGGTCGTGGGCTGGAATCGTTGATGCGCACTGCTGAGGAATCCCATGCTAGGAAGAAGCGACCATCCAGTGCTTTCAGGCTTTCCATGTTGGTCTAGCTTCAACTGACTCATGAATTCAACTTTTTTCAATATGACTAATAAAAGCTGTTTTTATTATAGACAATAAAATCTTTGAACGTTTGTTTGTTTATAGTTGACTACTATTCTAAGTTTAATGTGTTGGTGTGTTTCTTTTTAGAAAAAGAGCTATATATATAAAGATTGATGTTTTATCCTAGTTCTTTAGCTGTTCATACATTAATAAAAATTTCAAATCATTAACATTTCACATAGGATAAAAAAGTTATAATATGTAGTGATTGGTAACAATACCCTACGTGACCCTTCTTATCTCAAGACGATAGGTAAAACGCTGTGAAACTTGGCTTCGTATATGTGACACTTTTTGTAGAAACATATATAGAATCATGTGGGAACTAAAACTCTACATGACGTTTAAATATGTGTTTTAACAATTACACGTCAATGTTTTACGTAATACTTTTATATATATTTTGCTTTTTACTCTTCTAACATAAAATCATTCAGGTAAACCGATACAATGCTGGACACCACAAGAGTTTACTAGAGCATGGGAGGAGTATGCAGAAAATTATTGTTGGGTAGCCAGTACATATTTTATACATTTAACCAGATATCCAACATCAAATATATTGATGTCACAGTCTAATTTTATGCCAAACGGTTATATAGATACAAATGGACAACGTGTATTACAGCCTTATTCAATATTTCCAAAATTTTCAAAACCAAAAGCTGGCGAATTACCAAGTGATGGTCGATTAATTAGTTATTATCAATGGGCTCCTATTCTATTAGCTGTTCAGTCATTTTTATTTTATTTACCATGCCTTATTTGGAGACTTTTTGCTGGTCAATCTGGATTTCAAGTAAGTTTACATTCTTCTTTTATACACACAAATTTAAAAAAAGCATGTATACAATAGCAAGTACATTCAGTAGACGAGTTCAAAGTTGTACGATAAGGTCATCCTCGTGACTAATACTAGCCATTATTCATTATACATTGAAATAACTAAGAAGGTCGTATGTTTTTACAAATCTTTATTTCAATATTTACGTGTAATATGCCGTTTATTCAGTAAACGATGATTATAGCTTCCTAATAGTTATGGATTTAAAAGTATTCAGCTTGATAAGTAAATTGATTTTCTGTTTTGCATCAATATAGTTACATCGGGTGATTATCCGAATATAAGATAAGCAAGGAATCATACAATCCAGAAATGACTTAAAGTGAACTAAAAGTTCAAGTGTAACACAAATTTAGAAAACTTTAGAATTGTTTGTCCAAGATAATTGAGGGAGACGTTGTTATAGCTAGCTTGAAAAATACAATTTTCTAGAAAAAATAACCTCAGTATCAAGTACAGTAAGCAACTCCTTCTTAAAGTGTTTGTCTCCATGATGTCAATGATATCTGCGAAACTCTGTAGCAAATGTCTCAAACATATATCATAAATTCCTCCAATTTGTTTTTATATAAAAACAGAGAGAATGCAAGCTACTGCATATTTGAAATCTCTTACATCATTTTAGAATAACCAGTCTCAGTTGCTGATTTTTGAAAAGAAATTGAATGGATTTATATTAAGTTGGAGGAATTTGTTAACCACAAACTGTTCACAAGAATTATGATTATTTATTTATCAAAAGTTGACTTAGATCATTATTCTACTGTCGCATTATGATTTTATGAGTACTATATATTTTAAATAGAGTCTTTCGGAAAGTTTCTTCCGTTTTGTTTTGATCACGTCATTTGAACTGTGAATGTAACTTTTAGTTCCGTGGTTCACTGGATTATGTTACTTCTGAAATTATTATCTGTATAGTAGGACACCTTTATGAATTTTACCTCCTCAACACATAATTAATTCAACTTAATCATTTTTAAAAAATTTCATTTAGGTAATCATTGAAAACTAAATGCACGGAATACTTTCGTGATAGTTATATCAACTATTTTTTTAGATTCGTTCTTATTTAGGAATCAGCAAACTGTCAATCCTATAACAGAGAAAAACTTGAACAGTAAGGTAACTTGATATTGAAGTTATCACTCATGATCAAAATTACGTTTAGTTTTGTTGGCTGCTTAGAGAAAACTTCTCATATAGAGAGTGGAAATTCCTTTATATTTAAACTGTCAAATAATTTGATCCTTTTATTTAAGTTCAGATTAGGTCTCAGAATCATCATTGCAGTTTTTAGAAATGTGTTGATTCTATGACTTATTCCAATGTTTTTTATTATTTGATCAATATTATTAGTGTATGGTACATGAATAATCCATTGAATAATTTGGAAAACAGAAAGCTTTAACTGGATAATGACTAGAATTGTCTTATCAGATCAGGAACATTTGGTAAATTAAGTTGTTAGTGTAAATATCAGGTTGAGGTACGTGAAATTACACTGCTTCTCATAAGTTGCCTGATTTTGAAGAATGACAGAAATAAGCTTTGAGCTAAAATTTCAGTACTATCGACAAGTTACATATGCAACGTCTAGGAAACTTTTGAGTTAAGAATTTTAATCTAAATAACTTAAGTTTAATGATGAAAACGTTAACAATGAACTGATAAAGTAATGTGACTTCGTTTTGAATCTTTGAGAAAAAACTAGTATTTTCAGGTTTTCGAATACTTTTACTTAATTTGAACCTGAATTCAGCGAATCTTTATTGAGGATCTTACAACAGTCTAAATACGTAGTCTGATTCATATATTTATCCATAAGTACTTGTATCTATTACGAAATAGTCTTTAAGATGTAACTACTAAACTCTTAATAGGCTGTTTTCAGTACAAACGTATGACACTTTAAACTAAATTGAAATCTTTATTTCATGATGAATGACAGTCATATTCTTGGTTGATGCAGTCCATTTCGGAATTAAAATTACTTTGAATGAGGTTCTATTAACATTCTGTTGAAAAATAAAAAGCAGTGAATAAAATTGTTTTGATGAGAAATTCACACAAAAATAAATTACATTTGTATTAAATTTAAGGTTTAAGATCATGTACTCAACTAAGATGATAAGTTTTCAAATTAACTGGAACAAACTCGGACATTAAATTTTTCGCAGAGTAGTCATATTTATCCATTAATACAACTGTATATGATGTACTAGTATGGGGGTTGTCGCGCAATTTCGTGGATTTGTTGATGTTAGACACTATCACCACTGGGTGCCGGCTCAGTGGTCCAGTAGGTTAAGCGTTCGCGTGCGAAACCAAAGGCCCTGGGTTCGAATCCCGCGAGCGGGATCGTGGATGCGCACTGCTGAGGAGTCCCACAATAGGACGAAACGGCCGTCCAGTGCTTCCAGGTTTCCAAAGGTGGTGGTCTAACATCAATCGGTTCATGATCTCAATCAAAAATGTATATGATATATTGAAGGTTCACACTAGGAACACATAAATGAATTAGTTCAGATGGTTACATTATGTTGACTATGTATTAAAGTTAGTAAGATGAATAATTTTTAATCGTAGATGGGGAATAATTTTCTCGAATTTTTATTTTCTTGCCATCGTTTATGTCTTCCCAACGTAATGTTTAACTACATTAAAAACTGACCATTATATTACTGAGTAAACAATTAAGAATAAATAGTGTTATCAGATAAGTGAATCAGATGTATTTATATGTTTCATGATGTAAGTTTGAAGAATAGCATAAATCTTATTGAAGGTAAGGATCTTTTGTTCATTTGTGAAAGATTCCTTGTACTAGTTTTTTTTAAATCTTAAGACAAGCAATAAATTCTGGTAGAAATATGATTTCTTGAGAACTTATGAATGTAATTATAAATGAGAATTAAATCCTAAAAAGAGATTCAGGATCTTCATTTTCTTAACAGATTACGTGAGGTTGAGGGAATACAACCGAGCTTTCTTTTCAAAAATAAAATAAGTAGCTCGAGAATCCTTTTATATCAAAAATCCCAAACTCTAGAAAGATCCATTTCAGCTCAATAATTTCCTTGACTATTGAGAATGTTTGAACTTGTCACATACTCTAACAGCTAGCTGGACAAAAACAAACTTTAAATTCAGCTAGTAGGGTAAAAGTAATAGGAACGTTAAACAAGTGTATCGCGTTTAAATTAACCCACCTTTTTTTAGAATCAGACAGAATCAAACTTCCTATTTATGTTATAATTCACCAAAACTAAACATTGTCGAATTGAAACAAATTAGATATGTATACATAGTTTATTTCTCTTTCACTGTCAATAACTTTGTAGTGTCCCACTTTGTAAAACATTTAGTTTGGTTGATTTACTAGTACAATCAAACAGAAGAGTCCTGAACTAGCATAAAGCAGCTGTTTAGTGCTTCTTGCATTTTAAAGCATGTCTTTCTAAGAATAACCCGTGGTTTGAATTCTGAAATGATAACACTGTAACTTTCACCTAATTTCATTGTATTATTTTATTTAAACTGTTTAATAGAGTAATACATGTGTCATGTTTGATTGCTATAATACAAAGTTTATTTTTGTTGTAACATTACCGAAAAATTTAAAGTGATTTAATCTTAATTAATGCGTGCATAAATGTAAGAGGGTTCAAGAAATCATTCATTAGATAATAGAAATACTTAAATGATCAGTACCTAATCCATAACGGTATATGATACAACCTATACTCAAAACTGTTTTGCTAAGTATGATAATTCATCTTATTTACAGGTAAAGAGGATAATGCAGTTTGCTTCAGAGGCAGCCCAGGCAGCTCCAACTGAAGGTGATACTTCATGTCAGCCACAAACTCAGTCAAGCCAAGTTGATCAAGTCAACCTAAGCAAAAAACGAACTTCTGTCATTGCTTTAAACGCTATGGGTTTTTCAAATTCTGCTCCAAATTCTAACTTTTCTGCAACTAAATCAGTTAAAACCTTGGCTCGTTATTTAGATATGTGTTTCATGAGACAACGGGAACTACGTCGAGCTGTTACCCTTGGTTCAGATCATAAGCTCAAGAGAAATAGCTATAGCTTTCAAACACGGTCTTCTAAACATCAGAGTGGATTTTACCTTTCAGAAACAGAAAGTGATGTATTTAGACATGGTCAAAGAAGCGCGAATCGCATTCACAGCAGTGCTTCAAGTAGAACTAGATCGGGGTTAGCTTCAGAACGAACGGAATATGAACAAAATTTAAAACTTCAGAGACTGGCAATGCACCAAAGGGAAAGTTGCTTTTCATTTTCTCCTTGTTTTCGCAAACCCTGCAGAAAGCGTAAGTCAACATCCAGTTATCAGCAGTACAGTAACAAATCGTCTAAGTTAACGCCTCAAACGGGTTTACCAGATAATTTGGAAACAGTTGCGATGCCAAACAGTTACTATTCTGGTCATAAAACTTATGGTGATTGTCCACAGACTATTAATGAGTTGTCAATCGAAGAACCTTCACAAAATTCAAGTACTTGCTGTCCATGTTGGGAAACACGTACACCGAAACATCCACAAAGAACTCGTACAACTCACATACCACCGTGTAGATATCAAGGGAATTTTCTTGTTCGCTTGTATATGCTAGTGAAGCTAATTTATTTATCCAATGTAATTGGACAAATTTTTCTGCTTGAGTATTATACTGGTGTGGAATATAATTTTTATGGAATTAGAGTATTGTACGATCTTGCCAGAGGAAGACAATGGGAAGAATCTGGTCATTTTCCTAGAGTAACGTTCTGTGATTTTGAAGCAAAGAAGCTTGCACAAAGCCATTAGTAAGTTAATAGGAAATAATACCATATATTTATGATAAAACACTATATCTTTTTTCTATTATTCTTTTTAGTAGCATATACATATATCAAGAGTACTAATCATTCATATAACGTTGATATGATAAAATACGCTAAAACTAGTCACAGTCAAACAATGAATTCACTAGGTTCGTGAAACGTCGTTCGTTAAATATTGGTTGAATATAAACCTTTGTAGAACAAGTACTTGGTTTTTGACCCATAGATAACTCAACTAGATATGCTACTTCATTATTTACTAAAGTAGAACATTGTAAAAATGGAGCTGTTCTAGGTTCAGATGTAAACAGTATTGTTGGTAAAGAGTAACTTGGCTATTTTCTTTTAAGCATTCCTTCAGTAGAAGGAAAAACTTCATATTTAAATGTCAGCCATTTAATTTGATTGTTGTTTTTTTATTATTAAGTAAACTATAGCAGACATAGGTCTGAACACTTAGTAACTTTTATCCTTCCCGTTAATTAAATTAATAAATTAGAAATAATGACCTGATTTTCAACAACTATGTCTTTTCTTTAGTGAAAACAGGACTCATTCTCATTATTTAAAATGATTTAATCTCAATGTTGTATCTTCTTTTCATTTCATTCATTTCTATCAAAGTAATTTATAGAAGATATTGAAGGAATAAGTTTGTTAACAGTAGTTTATCATTTTATTGAATTTCTTTAGAGCAAGTTATGTTTTAATATACAGGAATATATCTATTTGTAAACCATTTGGATTGCCATGACAGTTCGGTTAATTCTCAGACACGTTGACACATAGGTGTTTGACTGATATGAAATTAATGTTATTCTCAAATTTCAGGTTTCACTTGACAGTTATTGATTATTAACGGGAAATTATTCATCAATCTGTGTATGGTAGATTAAATTATATGTTATTTTGGTGTCAGTCAGAACAAACGTTTTGTTCTCGTTAACTCTTAAAATGTATCCGAACTCTTAGAAAGGGACATTATTCATTTCAGATATTTGGGGTTACATTGTTCCTCGATAAAATTAGAGATGATATCAAGATAGTGCTTAACTTAATGAATATATATTGTACTTTGTAACTAACAGATTTTGACTTGATTCCATCACTGAATGCATAATAAACTACTCACGATAAAGTCTGTTCCTATTTAGTTTGGTTTGAAAAGAAGTGTGTATACTAAGGAGATTAGTGGTATAAATTTGAATAAATAATTCGCTATAGATTTTATCACACTTGCAGAATATATTGTCAACAAAAACTCATACGCAAATAATCCTACTTTCAAATGTTTAGCCTGATTAGCTTGAATTATTCGATATGAACCATGGAAAGCTTTGTTCAATTTTCGTCACTGTCATTTGAGTACTGTGTATAATAACATGATACCATTCTATAGATTTCGTTATTTAACATTTCATACAAACAAATTAGAAATGATTACACTTTAAAACAAAGCAATAAGACAAGATTTGTATCTGCTTATTTTTGCTTTGTTCAAATGTATAAAAGAAAGCCAATCGCGTGCAGTTATTGAAAGATAACGTTTTATTGTTTACTCACCTAGATATTTCTTTCATTTGACACAATTTTGGTAAATGTCATTGTTATTGTAAAATTAGCACATTTATGGTTTATAATCTGTATTGTATTTTTCTTCTTTCCTACATTTTCTATTTAGACATATGAATCACATCTAAAAACATTAGGTAGATAGAGGTTCTAACGAAGTATCATTACTAGTTCACTGAAAACCATCGTAGTTATAGTGTTGATAATCATATTATTTTTATGCTCCCAGTATTAGACGATAAATACAATCACTTTATTCAGGTCATATTATTTTCTAAAAAGTAGTTTTCTTTGTTTTTTTTAATGAGGTTTAGGACACCTAACAGTGAGTTAACAGGATGATATACAAATAAAGCAAGAACAAGATTTGAAGAATAACATGGATTCGTTAAATTTCACATTAACTTACACTAATAATGGTATTACAAAAGATGTTTAGATACCGTAATCAATGAAGGAATAAAACGGAATAGTTTATCTAATATAATATTTAAGAATGATCAGTATTTATATGTTGAATATAAATTCACAAAAACGAAAGGGACGAAGACATAAATGATAATAAAGGGATAATCAATAACAACAAATTTCATTTAAATCATGGACCGAATAATGTTGGACCGTCATTGAAAATTAGAAAGCGCTGGTCAGCCGTTTCTCCCTAGTATGGAAATCCTCAACAGTGCGCATCCACAATACCTCACGTGGTACTCGAACTCAGGACCTTCGGTCTAGCGCGAACACCTGACCTACAACGGTATTAATGTATAACCATAATAAATCCATCAAATTGAAGGATCATCTTCCATTGTCTTCAGTGGGTAATCGCTTCACACTGTCTTCCACTCTTGTGGGAAGCTGTGACCAGTGGAATTCAACTAGGTCGAGTGCTAGGCAGTTACTCACCAAAGGTTCTGGATTTGAATTCAACGTGAAGGATCGTGGGTGCTCACTGCTGAGGTGTCTCATACTTAAACAAGGGAGCCTTCAAGTGCTTACAGTTCTTCAATGGTATCCTAACATTAATCGGTTCATGAAAACAATGAAATTCAACAATCTCCACAACAACGTGTTGACAAATGAGTGACAGTTAAGGAATATGGTTACCAAGCCTCATTCTCCAGTGACGTTTTCATTGAATTGATAGTTCTAAAAATAGAATTTTTTGGTTAAAAAACAGTAGAATGACAACATGTCTGGTTTAATGATTTCAATTTTACTATGACATGAAGTGTTAGAAATGTAAGGACATTTAAAGAGGTAGTTGTTTTAAACTGAGTTGAATAAACAATCCTGACACGTGCATACACATGACTTTTTATTTTGTTAGAAGAAATCAGTACAGGACGAATCATGTGTGTACTGAATTATACATTTGATTGTCATTTATTTCAAATATCATTAGGCAAATAGTAAACCAAGAATGTTTTGTAGTTTTTTTAGTTTGAATGGTAAACAAAATAACATAGATTCTGTGTATCGATTTGAGTGGTGATTATATACAATATTATGATTGACTAATGTCATAGTAATTTGATTTTATTGAAATGTTCTTAAACATCTAAAAATAGTTAAATGATTATTCAAAAGTTGGGAATACACAATGTATGTCTTAGAGATAAATAAATTTGACTTTAAGTGAAATTATATTTATAACCTTCAGATCATACGTCAACTATGTTCAAGTTACTGTGTTATCTTGAGAGGGATTTGTTCAGGTTCTATCAGAGCTGAAAATTGCTTATTATTAGATTTGTAGTATGTTCGTGCTAAACAATGTTGTACTTTCATCTTCAATCAGATATTAACATATGACTGTTTTGTAATGAAAAATTTAATGTACTTTTCATCGAAATACATATTGTAAACTTTAACTAAGTGCTAACTAAGAGAATAATATAGTTCACTTTTCTTATCGATGACTAGTTAAATCTTCAGAAACGATTCATGGGAGAGTGTAATAGAAATAGAATTTAAGTGAAGAGTAATGCTTTTTTATATGGTTATTAGTAAGAGTTTGAATAATCCCATTATTAATACTTACTAATTTTAACCACTTTTTGTTGGCATGTGTACATCCCATATAGATTGCCTTTATATAGAGATTTTCTAGAATAGATTGATAGTGGGTACGAGTGAACTTCAGTACTCATCAGCTGGATGTACCAGGATACTAGTATTGGTGTTCACACATAGACCCGAACCCGGTACCTTTCAATTCAAGTGCCAATGCATTGTACACTGAGCTACTAAGTTAAAATAGCCGCTAATACTTTCAACTAGTAAACATTAACATGAAGATAAAGATAAATCCAGCTGAAAATTTCTAGTTAGCATAAAACGTGTATCATTGGATCCACTGCTGGCCACGATCCATCTAATCTAAATAATACTCTTTTGTTCTCATTTGGAACCACTTACTAAAAAGAATAATGAATTGGTACAGTGGAAGATGTAGAATTAATTTGTGAATTCATTAGGTAGATTTTGTAGTTACAGTCTGAAAAGTGAGCGTTTTATGAATAGTAACAGCTATAAATAATCGTGTAGAAATGAAAAAGCAGATATTCAGCTTGTGTAAATATTTTCGCTGGTGTTTTGTTCTATGAGGTAGATCATTCAATTACAAATCTTTCATTATCGTCCAAGATAATATAGTCGTTTACTTCCTGTGCTTATTCTTTATTTTCCTAAGAAGCATTAATATAATAAATTTAGTTAGAATATGTTACAATTCATCAACATAATTCAATTTTTTATAGTTGGTTTCATTAAATATACTGAATACCAAGATGAGGCGATTGAGAGCATTCCATTCTCAAGTTTCATAAAATAGTGAACAATTTAACAAGAAAATAATGTAAACAGTCTGTTTAATTTATATGGATTTATCATTATTATCTATCCAGGTCAGCTTCTCTTATTAGTGAAGCTTATTTTTCATCTGTATTTTTCTGCTTTCCAGCTGTGAGTAGTACATATATTGCCTTATTGATTCAAGGGGAGAGATGTTTTGCTCACAATGTTTTTCTATGTTTTTGACAATTTTATTCATGGTCTTTGACATTATTCATCAAAAGTTTAATTGAGCAAATTAATCAGGACCATAATAACTTTTCATCACTAATTGAGGTCAGTCAAAACCTTCGACTATAATCTGGCGTTACTTAGTTGTGTATGCGGTGAGTCTTCGTTAGAGCCAGCGTGGAATCATATTAATTAGTACTCACATCGTGTTTAGGCCAATTTGTCAGTCATTTTGCAACAAAGAAGAAAACAGTAACAGGAAAAACCTTTATTTTTGAGTGGTGATGCTTCGATTGCTCTATAACCAAGTAAAAAACTGAGTTTATTAAAACACATTACTGTGAGATTTATATAACTAAAGAATGATTATTTACCTTAAATCGAAGAATTGACTTATTCCTTATTGACAAGTCTAGTCATATGACTCAGCATATAATGATTTGGGAACATTACGTATTTACTTGAAATGTCATCTTCAATTCACTAATAAACTTTTGAAGTCAACTTACTTTCGACCGGAGTAAAATGAATAGATAAATATGTTCAATCCTTCAAAATTCTCTTTTCGAGATAAAAATCTCGATTCTTGAGCAAAAACATCCATAAAATATAAAAACCGTGAAATGGTTACATTTGAGATATGTTACAGATTAACAAACTATATAAATAACTTTTGATTTCTTCACTTCAATTTATATTGGCAAACATAATAATTAGAAAAAGGAATTGTTGAATACTGTGCTAAATAAAGCTGTTATTGGTTTTTCATCATTACACTTTACAAAGTTGGATTCCACATATGATAATTCTAGAGCTATTCAGTTTCATGGTATATGGTAAATATTAGTTTCTCTCATTCATCTTTCTATCTATGGTCAAATGATTTGCCAATCTGGATAAGATGTTGTTTGAACATAACTTTTCTCAAGAACTGACTTAATTCGGAGAACTATAAGAATCAGATTTCACTGAGAAACTGTTTATTTTGGGTCTCCTACTATTCAGTAGAGTATGAGTGCAACCCTAATATGAAATTAAGTACATGGGAATAAGGTTTTATTGAGAGTGCTACGTCTATGAACAAGTAATTCGATATTCAGTAGTTTATATTTCCAGCTGTAATCAATTTACAAAACGAAGCGTAGAAAAAGCACAGTCATGGGTCAATTTCTATCTCATCAGTGTTTATGTTGCCTTAAAAAGGTCACGGTTATCGATTAAGAATTCAGGTTACGACAAATTTTTGTTAAAGTGTTCCATGAAGAGAAAATTATGGTCTTAAGAGGGTTTTCGTAACAAGCTGAAATTATCTTCTGGCCTTTGAGTTCGTTCTGTCCTCAGTGCTTTCTAAATAATATAATTCCCTAGCTGGTCTCATTTTGGGATGAAAATCATCTCCGCATATAAATAGGTGTAGGCGCAAGAGATTGCATTTAAAACACCCTAAAGGACTTTGTTTTACCTAGATTAAATATTTAAAACACTAAACAACTTGAGATATGACAAATAACTCCCATGATTTTATGGAGCTAAGTAAAAAATTTGAGTATGAAATTGTGAGCTTCGCACTAGTACTCTCAAGGTTACTATTTTCAAATAACTCTACTTCCTATTCTTAAAAAAATTAAGCGAGTATTATGAACTATTCATAGTAAAATTTTCATTACTTTCTTTCTTACTTTCAGCTACACTTTGCAATGTGTACTCCCAATCAATATGTTCTTGGAGAAGATATACATATTTTTATGGCTGTGGTTTTTCTTAGTCGGCATTGTCACATTCAGTAGTATTATTATATGGATTAGAAGAATAGGTACAAGAACTGTGAGACTTACTTGGATTCAACAGCAGTTAATAACTATACGTCAATATGACAGATTTGAAAAAGGTTTTGAACAGTTTGTTGATAATCATATGGGTCCAGATGGGGTATTTTTACTTCGGTTGATTGCGCAAAATTACGGAGATTTAGTAGCAGGTGATACAATTGGTGAATTATGGATGGCTTATTGGCAAAGACGATTAACCAGTTCTTCAGAGCGTAGACTTACCGGGAGTATCTCAAGAAAACCACCATCACCAGCTCCTACATTTAATAGGTTTGATCAGCCTCTACCGTCAGATATATACACTAAAAACCCGTCATTGAAAAACCAACATAATGAAACATATCAAATGCAAATGGCTTTAACAAAGGGACAGATTGAAAATAAAACCTCTAAGCAAGGTAAGAAAGATAAATCGCGACGTATGGCCAGTGCATCAGGTTTTCCAGCAGCCTTACTTGCCACAGAGATGGTACATCCAGTAGACCGTTTCGGTGTACCTTTAATAGCAGCTACTCGCAAGCCACCATCTTTGCCTTCTAGGTCATCATCAAGGTATAGTCAAAGAAGTCGATCAAGAGAACGATCCGAATCACCTCCACCAATACCCCAAAGGTCTCCTGGTTGCGAAAATTACAGTTTTAGTGATAGACAATCGATAAAAGACTTTGAACATCAAAGTGAACACTCATCTGTAATTTACCCAGTATCTCCTACTGGACCCGATGAAGGAGAATTTGTTGACCATCAAGCTGAAGCTATTGTAGAAAATGATCATATAGTTGATATTCAAGGATCCTTCGAATATGAAGATCCACAAGGAAATATTTACGCTGAAAATAATGACAATCAATACGCTGAAGATGTTCAGAATGATGATAATATTGTATAAGTTGTAAATTTTGAATATTATGCAACAATATACGTTTTTTCTACTTGACCTCCGTCACCTGAGTCTTTCACGTTAAAATAATCTTAAAATAACTGTACAGTAATTTGTTTTTCACAGATGTGTATCCTATGAATGTAAAATTTAAACTGATTCCATTATTTGTTTTATATAATACTAGCCTAATACATAGTGTCTGCTGAACATTGTATTGAGGCAAAAAATTTTTAATAATGATGTTTTGCATTAGCTGTTGGCTTTTCGAGTAGCTTATATATAGCTTGAAATATGCTTTCCTCATTATAGTATATAAGAAAGTCCAGTTCAGTTTTACATTTGAAGGTAAAGTGTGGTGAATTGAACAAATCTGTCTTTTGTTATAGTTACTTGACATACTACTACTCAAAAGGAAACAGTCAGTGTCCTATGATATCAGAAAGCAAATATCAACATAAATCTGGATTCTGTTTGTTCTATCTACTTGATCATCCGGTTGCTTTATTATCTTCATAATAATCGCCTACATCTATCAATAGAAAGTTATTTTGAATAAACCATTAAGGATACTAAACAAGAGGTTTTAACTATGTATTCATGTCCTCTACCATTGAAATTTATCTCTGTGATCGAGCAGACTGATCTATTTTATCTAACTTGCAAATTATCGGCTGTTTCATTTGGTAATATGTTTAATAGTCGGTTTATTCTTTTCGTCTGATTTAGAACGTGTTTGCACATACAGTGTTCGGATGATATGGGTAATCGTCTGAATTACACAATTAATTATTAAGAGACATTTATTTTCTTAAATTATGGATTAATAGTAAGAAAAACACATTGACAATCATCATAAATAGCTCATCCGAAATATTGGTACTTTTGTACGGTTATGGCAATTTCGCAACATTCACACAGGCACACATGAGGAAATAGAAAAATGCTACAGTTAGGAAAAATCTAGTGTTTTCACATTTCTAACTTCGTTGTCTCATGATTAATGTACCCATCATTCAATACAGGAATTTTGTTATGATATGTCATGATATAAATTTTCAATACGAGAGTAAAATAGTTATCTGATTCTTAGTGGTCCATATATAATAATAAACCCAATATAAATTGAAATGAACATTAAATCAAACTGTGAACTTACAACCGCATATTATCTCAGCTTATTCTGGTTATTTATAACATTATGTTCATGCCAGTTAAGTCTTTTCTTTTTGCTCATTTTGTTTTCATTGGACAAAAATGCTTCTACACATAATGAAGAATTAAAAGTACCTAATCAATGTCTAAGACTATAAAATGTAATTTTTCCTCTATCTATTCATTTAATCTATGTACTATAATAATATGTATATTTCTTTAGAACACTGTCACCGTAATCATGATAACTATGAAAAATATTTCATGAATTGATAAATTGTCTGGATCCTTAAAACTTGAAAGTTAAATAAAAGAGGAATATTAGCAGTATATGCTTTTAGATTTCATTACGAAAGTAATTAATCATATAAATATCTATCAGACCATCCGGCTCACAGAACAAAATTTCATTAAAATCCATCATTTCAAATATCTATCATAATAATAAGATTGCGGATTTTTGTTTTCATATTCCGATATTTATTACTTAAAAATATACATTCAAATGATCTGTTTACTCTTTACACACTTTAGTAAAACAAGATGTTGAATCTTATTTATATTAAGTATAAACATTTGTAATATGATATTAATATTTTCTAAGACTATTACCAATATCTATTTCATAGAAGAACCATTGAAAAGCATGACAGTGAATATTTAGTTATTTGATGATATGAAATGGGCAAACTCAATGATTTCAATGATTCCATTAAATCTTTTATGATAAAAAGTAGTTTCGGTAAGTGGACAAAAACTTGAAATGATGGAGAAGATTTGTAGCTCAGATAGATGATTTTGATGGAGTTTTGTTCACGGAGCTGAATGGTTCAGTCTAATCATAAATCAAGTAAGCATATAATAGCAAACTAAAAATATTCAACTATGATGTCATCTGCTAGAAACTTTGTAATAGAAATCTAGGACTGTTCATAAGAATTAGAAACGTTTTCTTGACAACCAAATCAAAATTCTAACACAATTAAAGTTACATGTATTTCAATATGTGTTCATAGTTGAATTATAATCGATAAAAAAAACTAAAAATCCTCTACAATGTCTATATATTATGTTTAAGGTTCTAACTAATCATAAAAAGCGCCAAAATAGTTAAAAAAATACCCAACAACTTTGTTAACAACTCATGAATATAAAGGGAGATACATTTAATATTGATTCACAGAGGGGAGTGATAAGTAAACACTAGTTGTAAAAAAAAGTTGGGTTACTAAGGCAATAGGCTGAGAATATTCTTAGTCTAATTGAAGGTGTGCCTTTTCGTTTGTTTTGGCAACATTAAGGAAAATGCAACTAGTTATTTTTAAAAAAGATGATAATGTATAATTAAACACTGTTCAGTACTGTCAGATCCCATTTTGATTATGTTAGTACCAAAACATGTAGAGGAGTGAAATATGAATTATCCAATCTTAAATTCTGAAATCCTCTAACTTTGTAAAGAATATACGGAATAGAATTAAGAGTAAATTTTGACTTAAGACTTTCTGAAATTTTGGCAGCCATACTAATTACAAATATAGATGCATGTAAATATCATGCTACACATTGCATAAGTTATTTCCCTGGTTTACATTATCATTTTTCCTTCTGATAACATTATTTTCAGAGGGGATTTTGTGGAGATTGTAGTAATTTCAATAGCTGAGATCATGAGTCATACAAACTGAGAGGTCCTGCGTTCGAATACCGCGAGCGGGATCGTGGATGCGCACTGCTGAGTAGTCCCACAATAGGACGTCTAGTGCTCTCAGCTTTTGCATGGTGGTCTAGCTTCAATTGACTCATGATCTCAACTACTGAAACATTATTTTCATGAATAGTATCTTCCTCAATGAAGTAAATAGAAAACTAGACACAATCAACTAAAAAATTAGTGTTTTATTCTTGTTTGTTCTCTAACGCTAATATTTTGGTATGATTTCGTAGTTTGGTTGGTCAACTTCAAACTCCGTACTCCGTTTCTTTTATATGCAACATATCCTCAAATCTATTCATTTCATTTTTTTTGTTTAACTAACGATTTAAATGCTTCCATCTCATCTAATCAACTATTTAATCAAAATTAATATATAACCATGAAAAGAATTACATATGTAGTGTACTTTATAATGCTGGAGACAGTTTTTCAGGAAGTTTTGTACATAGATTTAATTCTAATTTACAATCGTTGGAATGGTATATTTGCAATCTTGAAAGAACTTGTTTCTCCAAGCTGCTCTAATACTCACATTCTTTGGTATGTCAGTAAGAGACTCTACTCTCAAGTCACCCAGCTGGTGTCTGACCTGTGTGACAGAATTGTTGACACTGAATGATTACTGGTTTAGCAGCTGTGTCATATTTGGTCCTCAAGTCTTATCAACCAATACAGACACAGTGTTCTGGTGAGTACTAGTTGTCATGAAATCAATGTCCATGACATTCTCGTGATTTTCGCCAACCATTTAAAATCTGAACATAGTGAATGCGTTTTTAAATCACGTAGATTGGTTTTCACATCTCAATTTAACCGACCGAATTTGATTTGTAATGGTAAATATACAAGCATGATATTGGTTTTTGAAATTGGATTCAATGACCAATAAGTAGGAGTTGAATTTAAGATCTATTGAATATAAAGCATAATCTTATACCATTAGGATTTATTAACAAAAATATTATAAACGTTGTATGGTTTACCTTCCGTATACTATAGATAAAATAAGCCATTATGTTTCCTAAACTGTTTCAATTTGATTCCATGTCGGCTTCTCACTACGTTTAAGAAGTCATGATACATTAACACAGTTACCAGATTTAGTTTATTCAAAGATAACATTATAATCGTAACAAATGTTCTGTTTATAACAGACAACTTTTCTTTTTTAAAAATACAGTGGATATCCGAATAAATTATTGAATTTTTGTTTAGTCATTACCTTTCTTTTCCGGAAAAACTAATAAATCTATAGTTGGATAAATGTATTTATAATTTGTTTTGAAAGAAAATTATCAAAAGCAGATTTTGTCTATATCACAGTAATTTTCATAGTTGAGATCATGAGTCATTTGAAGCTAGACCACTATAGATTTCTAGTGAGAAGCAGTGACCAGTGGAGTTCAACCGGGTCTGTTGTGAGATAGTAACTCACTGATGACAATGATGGATGTGTCGCTAAATTTCGTCCAGTGTTTCCAAGTCTAGCTTAAAATGACTCATGATCTCAACTATTGAAAAAAATTATTGTGAAGCTATTCATCAGTTAAACAAAACTTTGCATATCCATAGATAATCAAATGAAATGTATTCAATGTCATAATGTGAATCTTATCACATTGTTTTATGAATTAATTTAAACTTAACGCTTGATTATTTATGTCACTTTCAACTCAGAAATGAATTTCTAGTTTACGTAAATTTACGTCATATGCAAAATACGTATTATACTTTAAAAGAGGTAGATTGCCAACAGTATATTATTGAAAAACTGAATATCAGGGAAGTAGATCATTGTAAAATAGTTAGGTATTATCACTATTTATCGATCAATCACTTATTACTAGCATCACTAAGTAATGAAAAATCACAAGTTTCCATAAAACCACATACTTGAGGAAGAAATTCTAGCTAACAGCGATTTCCAGAGGTATCAAACTGGTCAATAATCAAACAAATAATTACAGTTTATTTTCACTAAACATTGGTTCCTACCATCAAGCGAAATCCGATTCTCTCATTTCAGCCACATTATGTGCGTTAACGAACCTGATGAGTCTAGTTGTCATTATAGCCAAGTCGCTTAATATTAATATTTGGAAAAAAACGAAGAACCACTGCAATTCCCATGACGCGAATTAAGAATATCAAGACTAATACAAATGAAGATTTATTAGCTCCAAAACACAACGATGACCCTAGTCTGAAGATTTACACATTTATATTATTAATTATACTTCCATTTTGATTATTAACTAAAATAAAATCATCTGCATGAAACACAGAATAATAACAATTCACAAATTGTCGGCGTGCATGAATATCTGTGCTACCTGTTCCTCTCATATAGATATTTCAAAGAGTTATCTGTATTTCATTTTGTTTAAACGCCTGATTATGTTTATTAATCGCACACTCTATTCAGGCTTGTTCATAAAATGTTGTTGTAAAACTTCATTGTAAAACTTACACAAAGTACAATCACAGACATCATGGTAGCTAGTAATATCCATTGAAAAGAATGAACATTATTCAGATGTTGATTCACAAAACGTCTTACATCTAACTGGTGACCACTCACTATTTATCGTCAGGATTGATAGATAAATAAATAAGAAAAGAAAACTTACTGAAACAATTCGTGCTAAGAATTCTATACTGTGCCCAAAATATAAGATTGAATAAAGCCATTAATAATAATAATAATGTCATGTTGAAGATATTCCACGTCAATTCAATACGAAGGATATCATATCATAACTTGAATAAACAACAGAATCAAATTATTCAAATGTTCTATTGGATAAAATATCATACTGGCAAACAATACAACCGTTACACAGAATAGTCATCAGATTGAATTAAAAACGGAAGTAAAGTTAAACAAAAATCGCAAAGAGACAACTCTTGACTTCACCTTTTTATGAAGTCATATCAAATCGTCTATATTACTAAGGTGTAACTTTAAAGATCCATATCATCATATTAATAGACTAATATTTGAACGAACAATATTCTATTGGATAAATTCTCTTCAGATTCTATAATTATATATCCAAATTAATAATCCAGAAAAATGGCCAAATCAAGGGTAAAGTGCATCGTTTAACGTTAATGTGAATTTAGGATTGTCAAACAAAATAGAAGAAAATTGTCAGTATAATCTAATCCTTTTCAATTATTTATCGGGTCAGTAAACTTTCGCTAAACCTTGTCAGACTTAAAGTTCTACAAATGGCTGAAGCAGTAGTCATCCGGCTTAAGAAACCTGAGCTATGAGTACAAAGAAATATCTTCGATCGCTTCTTCTCTCCTGGCCAGATTCAAGGCCAATTAATCGATAGTAATCTTAGCTATGGAATGATCTAATTTGACTACTGTACTTACGACCTTTCGTAGTCAAATGTAATTGTCTCTGTTATCTTTATTCACAAATCTTTGTATTATTATTATTGTTATTTGTCAAACATTAATATTCATCTCGCCAATACAAAATTCATTTACTTCTCATTCATCCAACCTTATTATGTCTTACTGATAATGTTTTACAAAATATAGTCTTCCATTAAACCTTTCGTCGAATTGTAATTCCACTATCATTTCTGTCATCCAATCCGACCCATATTTATTCCGATCGCTGATTCCAATTAACATTCTATATGAGTCATTTCAACATTACCAATTTTATTCTATTTTGTTTGACAGTCCTAAATTTACATGCTTCAGCTTGAAACGATGTACTTTGACCTTAATCTGGACATTTTCCGGATTAATAATTCGGATATTATATAATTGTAGAACCTGAAGAGAATTTATCGTTAAGGTGTAATCAACTAATCCTTTCCAACTAGTAACAGTTCAGTATCTAA